GCCAATACCTGATCTTAGCAGTATCCCGAACCTTGGTTATTTGTAAGTTTTATAACTTATCTAGCCGTTTCCTTAAATAATCTTGCAACTGACTTGGCGTAGTAATATCATCTGATTCTGATTGTTCGACATGAATTCCAGGGACCTAAGTCGAAATCAGTTAAATGGATCTATACCTACAGGGAAGCTTTCTGATAATATCACAACCATGTAAACTTTTAACGCCTTTCATAATTTTTGCCTTTGATTTACTTCGAGCTATGTACTGTGATTAGTTTTATTTTTTGTTTTGTTAGAAATGGACTGTTTTTAAATTTGACATCTTCTGTTGAAAATATTGCAGCGATCTGTCCAATAACAGCCTAACTGGAACTATTCCAACAAATTTCTCAGCCCTCCCACGGCTTCAAAAGTTGTAAGTGTGTTTGATCGGTGTAGTGAGCTTCTCGGTTTCTGAGACGCTGTTGTTTGTTCTATCATTTTTGGATATGAAGATGGCTGATGGTTTGTTTGGTAATTTGGCAGATCGGTTGCAAACAATGATCTGAGTGGTTCTATTCCTTCTAGCATATACCAGGACAGAGTGTTGAATTCAACCGAGAGTCTTATTGTGTATGAATTTTTATCATAACTCCTTTCCTTTGATTTACAAGCATGTGCCAACTTTCTCTATACTATCTCTTGACAACCTTCATTTCCTTTATCTTTTTCAGGGATCTGCGGAACAATAAGTTTTCAAATATATCTGGCAGATCCGATCCCCGCCCAAATGTGACCATCTGGTTTGTTTCTGCGCTTTCCCATTTCCCTTTTTTAGATGCACACACACATACTTATTTTTGCTTTGCATATCATTATGACTACTCAGTGATGTATATAACAGTTTTTTCTTTATCTTGTTTGCTCATTCTGAAGTGTGATACATTCTTTCCCTCAGATTAATGTCCATTTTTCCGGTATCAATTTGACATTGTTCGTTTTCCAGGCTTCAGGGGAATCCGTTATGTTCAACTGGAAATCTGCTTCAATATTGTGGATCTCTAACTGAAGAAGACAAAAATCAGGGTTCCACCAATTCTACTCCAACTTGTTCTGACTGCCCACCTCCTTATGAATTTTCTCCAGATTCTCTTAGACAGTGCTTTTGTGCTGCTCCTCTGCTTGTTGGATATCGGTTGAAAAGTCCTGGTTTCTCGGATTTTGTTCCTTACATACCCGAATTTGAGGAATACATCACCTCTGGTCTTAGTTTGAATCGGTCTCAGCTTCGCATTGACTCATTCCGGTGGCAAAAAGGACCCAGACTTCGAATGTACTTGAAGTTCTTCCCTGTTTTTGGTTCAAATGCCAACAATTCTTTCATATTCAATCGTAGCGAGGTTCGGCGAATAAGGGGCATGTTCACTGGATGGAACATCCGAGACGAAGATCTGTTTGGTCCTTACGAGCTTATGAATTTTACATTGTTAGATGTCTACAAAGATGGTTAGTAGTGAGGTCTTCTGATTTTTTATTTCAAAACAAAACTTAGTTAAAGTACAAGTAAATGATCATATTAAAGTCTTCCTCTCACAAACTGCATACTTAGACGTCATTTTGATTGTCCTTTTTTTTTTTTGCAGTGTTTCCTGAAGCTTCGCCATCTGGTGTAAGTAAGGGTGCACTTGTGGGAATAATTCTTGGTTCAGTTGCAGCTGCAGTTACGATAACCGCTATTATTGCTCTTATCATTATGAGGAAACGTATGAAAGGATACGCTGCGGTTGTTAGAAAAAAGCGATGTAAGCATTTTCTTGTGGGGTGCATTTATGTTTTTCAGAGAAGATTATCTCTCGGATTTTGTTTTCTTGGTCTTACGGCTTTGATTCATCCATGTGCAGCTTCCAAGGCTTCTTTGAAAATCGAAGGGGTAAAGAGCTTCACTTATGCTGAGCTAGCTTTGGCTACAGACAATTTTAACAGTTCCACTCAAATTGGACAAGGAGGTTATGGAAAGGTCTACAAAGGTACCCTTGGCGATGGAGTGGTTGTGGCGATCAAAAGAGCACAAGAGGGATCATTGCAGGGTGAGAGGGAGTTCCTAACTGAAATTGAATTATTGTCGAGATTACATCATCGAAACCTCGTTTCTTTGGTTGGATTCTGTGATGAAGAAGGCGAACAGGTAATTTTGTCCAAAACCCCTCTTCTGGTTGAGGTCCAAAACCTTTTATGTTTCTCTTATTGCTTGTATTTTCAAACGTGCAGATGCTGGTTTATGAGTATATGGAAAATGGTACTTTGCGAGACAACATTTCTGGTATGTTTTGCTTATTCACTTAGTCATTTATAGTTTTATCTGTTCTCTATGTGGGTCAGGAGAGACGAACCACGGCTGTTCATTGTTCTTTATGTGAATGTATTTATCATATGACTTATCACCAACATTGATGGCTCTGTGTGCTTAGGCTCTGTTCCATGTGGATAATACTTTGCAATCTGATGTACAAATTTGTGTTTTGCAGTTAAGTTACGAGATCCTTTAGGCTTTGCGATGAGAATGCGGATTGCTCTAGGTTCAGCCAAGGGAATTTTGTATTTACACACAGAAGCTAATCCACCGATATTCCATCGAGATATCAAGGCAAGCAACATATTGTTGGACTCCAGATTCATCGCAAAGGTTGCAGATTTTGGACTCTCAAGACTTGCCCCAGTGCCTGATTTGGAAGGCATCTCACCTCATCATGTGTCTACTGTTGTAAAAGGGACTCCGGTATGATCTCAATCCTGCTTTTCTGCTGTAAAACTGTTTCTCAAACTCATGACTTAAAGACTTTTTCTTGTTTGACTTGCAGGGTTACCTTGACCCGGAATATTTCTTGACTCATCAATTGACGGACAAAAGCGATGTATATAGTCTAGGCGTAGTGTTCCTGGAGCTCTTGACAGGAATGCATCCAATCACACATGGCAAGAACATAGTCCGAGAGGTAATTCTGGTTAGATGCTAAGAGCTTGTTCTCCTTCTTGGCATTATCTAAAAATCGTTTCAAATGTTCTTTTCCCTCAGGTCAACATTGCGTACCAGTCTGGTTCGATATTATCAGTGGTAGATAAGAGAATGAGCTCAGTTCCAGATGAATGCATTGAAAAGTTTGCAACTTTAGCGCTGCGATGCTGCAGAGATGAGACCAATTCAAGGCCTTCAATGGCGGAAGTTGTACGAGAACTGGAAGTCATATGGGAACTGATGCCGGAATCTCATGTAGCCAAAACAGCTGATCTGTCTGAGACAATGACTCACCCATCATCTTCATCGAATGCGTCATTAATGAAGAATCATCCTTATACATCAATGGATGTCTCTGGCTCTGACCTCGTCAGTGGAATTGCTCCCTCTGTTACACCTAGATAGCAACTTTCTTCGAACCATATACCATACAC